CTCTTTCCAACAAGTGATCTCTGCTGCAAAGAGACAAGATTAGTACAACGGCTAATTGTGCGATGTCAAACCATAGGAGGTATAGGAGGACAATTTTCACAGTGGTTTTTGGAGGTGGAAGATGTCTAACATAGAAGAAAAAGGTTATATTCACTGTAGAAACAGTAGTATTTCACCAGCACATTTATGCATCCTGACTGAATTGGACACAAGTATTCACAGAGGATTTGGGGGGGGTGGGGGCAGGGAGGAATTAAAAAAAAAAAATCCACAGACCAGTGAACGCAAGGGACCTATCAAGGTTGGTCCATCCCTTTTCTGAAGATAGACATATGCCTCTAGAGGGAAGCCTATAGAAGGAAACATGGTTAGAACATTAATAAAAGTATAAAAATACTACAACAAATAAATAAAAATACATGCCTCAAAGTCACACTAAAGGTTGTTTGTTGTTGTTTTTCAAAATGTATCTGCTTGCTGAAAATAACAAAAGGGAAGTGAGTTTACAGAAACTACTATACAAAGCTTCTCAAAATGCTGTATGTATTTCATACTTGCCTATACTTCAAAAACTTGAATTTACAATTTTAGAAGCCCTGCTCCTTGTTCACAATGAGGATGGCCAGTCCAGGCAATATGTCTTGTTCACATGCAATGCAAAAAGAATAAGCTATTCCTATTATTTAGCATAGTAGTATCAGTAATATCAGGAAGTTATAACACTAGACCTATATTGCCTAATATGAAACAAATATATAATTACACAATCCCTTTTAAAAGAAACCTTTGAATACAGGAAGACAAGAAATACCTAAGTGTTAGACAAGTATACAATCAAACAGCTCATCCTCTGTACCCTTGGAATTACTCCTCTGCTGAGCATAGTAGCTTTACAGCTTAAGCAGCCCATATTCGCACTATTAGATATTCACTGTATTTCCTCTTTGCTGATGAAGATATTGTGCTGCTTACCCTCAGAGAAGTGGCATTGGGGGGATTAAACAATACAAAGAACATTCCATTTGAAGAAAAAAAAAAAAATCAGTAAAAACTCAGAAGTCAGCCCAGCTGTCAAGAAATAGCTAGATTTTTGTCTTGCCCATGCTGCCTGTCTCTTTGTTGTTCATACTATTTCTTTCTCCCATGCTTATCCCCATGTCGGAAATCCCGAGGTCATCAGCATGTGACCCACAGAACTTGTGTTCTCACAAGTATAGGAGGTCTCAGCTTTGCTGACATCTTTCATGGAGCTGCTCTCCAACTTCATAAAACCTCAGAAAAGCCTGACTAACCCAACATTCCCTGTAGAGTACTTCTCTGGTAGAATATGCTCCAGAGCCAAATGTAAGGGTATTTTTGGGTTTTTGGTTTTGGCTTTTTTGTTTGAATAGCATTGCCATTTGGCAATAAGAAGCACTGGATACTGCTGCAGTTCCCCTTGGGAGGTATTTTCACCCAAGCAATTACTGATTATGCAAACATAATTACTGTAGCTAGGTGTTAGATGGCCACATTTTCCATGCCCTTATTTTCCAGTGTGTCAAATATGTTGAAGAATGCCCTGCTTCCTTTCAATCAATTTTTTTATTAATCTAAGAAAAGCAAGTGTCAAGCATTTCTGTTCACCTTTCCAAAATGGCTAGAATTGAGACGAAGAGCAAGAGGTGATTATTATTCTGATCTAGTCTGACCTGATCCAAGATCTGACTCTTGGGAAGAATTTCAAGGGGAAAAATACAAACATAACTGAGAAGGAGAAAGTCTTAAATCCTGTCCTGCAAAATAGGAAATGAGCTGCCTGGCTGCTCAGCAGATGTCAGTCACCAGCACTGGAAAGACCAAAAAGCACAAAAAGACTAATTCTCCATAGTAGCAACTCCATGATGCTACTTCCTAACCATCACTAC